TAATATATATATATATACACACACACATATATATATGAATGAAGTTACAGCAGGTAATTCTCTGGCTCTTCTCGTCATAATTACCACAAATGGAGGGGCCAGCACTCAGACAATACAAATGTTGCAGGGTTCAGGTCTGCTAAAACAGACTCCCATTTAATTGTGAGGGGAAAAAGTCAGCGGGGCTCAAAGATTTCTCCCACTGTGTTTGACTCGGCCTTTATTACATGTGAGCGGCGTGTGGCCTCTTGAAAGCAAGCGGCTTTCAGCGAGTGTAAACATCTCTGACGGCGGAGAGCTAGAACGAAGCGAGTTAGGAGACTCGGGGGCTCAGACAGCCCCCCCACCCCCTCCCCTCCTCGCTCACACTCACTGGCAGCTGTCACATATAGCAGCGGGGAAATTAATGAGAAGTTATTCATGTCTTTATTTTGTCCGTTCTCTCACTTGCACCGTCACTCCACATCAAGAAATCTGGGCTGCTGGTAATTGCGTCCTGAGCGTTGAGTGAAACAGCTTACACTCTGTTTACAGCGGGCTAAATGAGCGGCTGCACAGGTAGGAGCTAAAGTCTACACGTGAGGATCTAATTAAAATTACTTTTTAACTCTGAAGCCACATATTAAGATAATAAAGGGAAGAAAAAATTGCAATGATGCAGAAAGAAATCAGAAGTTGTTCCAAATAAACATTTTTATTGTAACCATTTATGCAAACTTTTATGTTTGCATAAATGTTTCGATCAAATTGTGGGAGTTAGGTTCTTAGTGAATATGTGAAATGTGAAAAAATGCTAATTTTGGATGCGGTCAAAAAAACAAAACAAAAAAAATAGCTTATTGCCAAGCACCTTTGAACATTTAAAATACTTCGGCAAAAGCCAAAAACATCGCCAAGGACAGTAACTGAGATATCCAGGTTTGTCCACACTAGGGATGTCCCGATCCAGATTTTTTGGCTCCCGATACAGTCCGATTTTTTTAATGATTAGTCTTTCTGATACCGATCCGATAGCTTTATTTCTTTAATTCTTTACAAGTGACAAGTTTGGTAGTATTGAAGCGAGCCCTGCTGTTCCCACCACGAGAAACATCCAGTTTGTATACTATGCAAGACGCAGTTTCAGCATCGTTTCCATTGAAAAGTGTTCCCACACTGTGGACATGGTTACATACTTGTGTGTGTCTTGACTTCTTAACGGCAGTTGTAAAGCATGATGATGCTGAAAACTGTCGTGAAAACTGGATCGGCCCAATCACGACTAAATCTGATTCTACCTGATTTTCAAAAAATGGCCATATCTGCCACCGATACGATACTGAGGATCTGATCGGGACATCCCTAGTCCACACTATGGGTGTAATAATACATCTATCCACACGATGAATCCATAGTGACTAATTCAAGTCAAAACAAAAACACTGATCCATATCATCATCATATGCCCGATGTGGATCTACTGTATATCGTATCGATTGCGGACATGTGAAATGAATTGAATCGTATTATGACAGTCTTTTTGATACAGAATCTTTGTATTGTCATCCAGACAAAACAATATAATATTGTATCGTGATAAAGCTGGTGATTTGCACCACTAGTCCACTCCATGCAGGACGTGGAGTGTGAGCTACACCCTCTGTGTGTCTAGACTTTGGAGGAGTGTATACACTGACCAAGATGAATGACGTGAACTCACAAAGGGTGGCTTCCATGTCAGTAAAAAATAGATGCATCAGACTTCTTGCTTTGGACCGCTCCAGGACGTGGTTTGCTCTAAAAAAGCTAGAAGCCTGCTGAGTCGGGTACCAGCTCACAGCTACATCGACGTGAAGCTCAAAACAGAAGAAGCTGAAAGGTCTCTGTTTTTCCTCCATCAATAGCTGAAGCTCATCTATTTTGACGCCCAGTTGTGTGGACGTTGATCAGAATTATTCCAGGTAGCGATGGGCACAGACTGAGCTGGCCATGATGATGACCATGATGAATTAGCTGTGCAGTGCGTTGAAGATATGTAATGAAGATGATGACCTCATAGCAAAGCAGAGGATTTACAGCTCTTTGGGAGACAATTTATACATTGCCTTGAAAAAAGCCACATAAAAAGGAGGATTTCCATGAAACTGCTGGGTTTCCATGTGAACAATTAAGAGTCTGTGAACTCTGAACCGCTGCAGTTTACTGTAAGCTGTTGACTGTAATAAACAGCAGATTATCAAATGATTTTTTTTAAAAAGATCAAAATTTTAGGATAATTTTTACTTAAGGTTAATTAAAATAGGTTCATAAAAGTTTAATTGTGTTTGAAACTTGAGCCAATTAGAGCCTTATGTTTATGCCAATATCATTTACTCAGCCCAGAAGTTAACTTATTACCGTTTAAAAAAAAAAAAGTCACGAGGCACTTGTTTTCCAGTATGACATTTAAAACTGTGCGTCAAACATTTACTCTCTAAATAAATCCAACAATTTCTTTCCGTACCTACAAACAAGAGGTGCGTGTACAACTGTAAAACCGTATCAATTACTTAGAAAGGAACCAAATTAGCAAAATGATTTAAAAATACCCAACTTTGTCACTTTTTTAATGGAAAAATACAAGACATCTGCGAGGGGCATAAATGTGAAAACCTTGGCTTTCAGTAACGACGAAAGAAAGGACTTGTCTCCTTCAGGTTGATGTCTTGCTGGATGACCCTCTTTCTCTTGAGATTCAGCCCACAGACAGATGTCCAAATGTTTCTCATCAGTATTTGGTAATATAATGAGTAGCTGATTTATTTTTCAACAGGATAAAAAACGCCCACACTCTAAAACTCATGCACACACAAAGAGTGAGTAAATTTGGTTGATGGATTTTAGTTATTTTGCCAACGAGGGGAATGTTGTAGTAGTAGTTGGTTTTTAATGCCATGTCACAAACAATGGCTATAATCATGGCAACAAGGTTCAGTAAACAAACTTATTTAAATTAAGAAATCAAGATTGGAAAATACAATTTTACATATTCTTTAAATCACAACTTGATATAAATTTTAGAACTTCCTGATTTAAATTTTATTAACATTTTAAGACTTGTTTTGACAGTAAAATGTTGCCTTGACCTACTTAAAGCAGAACAGGAATATAAAATATGTTTTACTGACAAAGCTACATTACAGTACTGACATAKTGTCAGTTCTTCAGCTAATGATAAAAGCATGTTTATAGAATGACTAATATGGCACTTTGTATAAACTATTTGATCATGTTTAGGTTTGAAAATAAATTGTCTCCTACTGGCTACAGGGACAAGGGGGGTTACATTGTTCATTAAATTCTAATTGACTATAATTTAACTCTTATTGTTTCAGCAATGATACAACGCCCTGGTCTATGTCCACACTCAAAAAATACAGAAACTGTATCCACGAGTTTCTGGATACTCTACTGGCATACCAGTCAATGTTTTTATAGGGGGCGGAGTTTGGGGAACATTATTCTTGTTGGCAAACAGCATGACTTTTGTCTTTACAGCATTTAGGACTAATTTCAGCTGAAGCAAGTCCGTTTGAATAATATCAAATGCAGACTGAAGATGTCCGAGCATAGCAGTTACACATTTTGCAATGGAATAAAACACAGTGTCATCAGCATAAAAATGTGTACAAGCATTAGTTATTTTATCCCCGACACTGTTTACATAAATTGAAAACAGAGTAGGAGCCAAAACTGAACCCTGTGGTACACCCTTTGGGATATTTAAATAATCAGATGACAAATCTCTGTGTTGCACACATTGGCTCCGATTTAACAGATAATTAGAAAACCAACTTACAGCATTATCTGATAAACCAAAAGCTGACAGCTTTTGACAAAGAATAGTATGGTCAACTGTGTCAAATGCCTTAGACAGATCAATAAAAAGAGCAACACAGTAGTGATTAGCATCCAAAGCTTCAGTGATGTCATTTACAACTTTTGTGGAGGCTGTAACTGTACTGTGCTGTTTCCTAAAACCAGACTGATGGCATGACAGGATATTAGCTGCCTGCAAATAATCTTTAAGTTGGATATTAACTAGTTTTTCAAAAACCTTGGATAAAATACAAAGTTTTGAAATGGGACAATAACTGTTTAGCACACCAAGATCACCACCTTTTAATAGGAGAAGAACAAAAGCAGTTTTCCACTTAAAAGATGAGCTTAGGAGCACCCAGGGGCTATAAAAGTGTTGGGTTTGTTTAAATAAAAATATGCTAACAGAGTTATTAGAGGCAGTTTATTTATTTTTGTTTATCATTTATTTAAAATGACTGCAGCTCTATGAAACCCTCCAGTTCATCTCTTAAAGTACTAGCAAACTAGCACCCAGTGAATTTTATGTTTAGAATAAGGGGGAGAAACCGTCTAATCACAATACTTTTATAAAAATGATTACAATTCTGGGGGGCTTATGAACATTTTACTTCCAGAACGGTTGACATTTATGATTTTACATGTGTGTGTGTGTGTTCGGGTAAAGACAAGGTAGTTGATGTCAGTAGTAGCGATTAGCTAACATCGGGACATAGCTTCGTCAGTACGTGAGCAGTGACAGGTGAGCCACTGTTAAAGAATTGTCCTTGCCGCTTTTTAAAACACCCTTACAGTATATAAACCGCCGATATGTGGCCATCTACGCCAAATTTTGACGAAAAATGCTTTGATAAAAAGCGATGCTGTATCCTTGTAAACAACAGCCAAGCGGAAATATGGAAGCGAGAATTCAGGAATACTGTAGATATGTCTTTGTTTATATCTTTTGTATACATATTTCACCTATGATGAAAAAATAACCATTAAACACACATCATTGACTATCTGCAATAAATGAGCAATAATTACAAGTTTGTTGTTTTTTATATTTGAACATTGACACATCGGAGAGTCTTTGAACGTGGTGAATATTAAGTTGGTAAAAAATGTAGTCAGAGGGAGAACAATGAAATCGGTTGTAAGTATGAGTCGAAGTAATTTTGGGTGAGAAAATTGTGCAGTGGAGAGCGCTAAAGCCATTCTTGGGGCTAAAATCAAATGTAAACGAGCTGTGACGAATTTTTCTGAACTACTCGTCGAATCTAGTTTACAAAGAACATTTGCCGTTTAATAACGCAACATATCGATAACAATTTTTTGACCGATTTTGGCTTGTAAAAGTCTAGACCAGGGGTGTCGAACTCATTTTCACCGAGGGCCACATGAGAGTTATAGTGGCCCTCAAAGGGTCAGTTGTAATGAACTTTGACGTTTCATGTTTAACTTTGACTAAACAGTGTTTTAACACGTCCTCTTTTAAACACTGATAAAAACTAAGTGTATGACTGACTAAATCTGAAATAAATTCAGAAATATTAGTAAAAGTAAAACTAATAAAGTTTTACTCACTGATGAGTTTCTAGTGAGTAGCTAGTATGCATTATGGCAGATTTAGTTTATGGTGGATGCTGAATTTAAATCAGCTTATTTTCAGACAGCTCAGTTACTTAAAACCAACAAATCAGGGGCAGTACAATTGTTATTTTCTTTCACCTTTTAATTTTATTTTGTTGCATTTATTCATAAATTGAAAGTTTACCATTGATGTAAGAAACAATTTTCATGTTAAGCCAAAAAT